GTGTGTTTGGATAGAGCCAACGCCACAGCGAAATAACGTTTGATCGAATCAAGTATCGCGAGAGTTGTCTGTCTTCCCAGATGCGCTACTAACGTGGAACCGAAATATGTCGCGAGAAAAACATCATTAGTCAGTTGGATTATATCCCATCGATTTACTGTTAAAATGTGAAAGCTTGTGCTTCTGAACGTTAGAGCGTTAACACTGGCTGTGCTAATATGGCTGTAGACGATGTGCTCTAGGATGTTGAGGACTATTTAGAAATTCTCTAATACTTCATGTTGCTATCACCGCCCCTCCAGGTGAGGACAGGAGATTAACGCAAGCATCCCCTACAGAAAAACGAAAAAACTTCCGGGTGTGTGTGACTTTTTTTCCTCGTTCTTGATTTTGCTTCACAACTTTTTAATTAGTCCAGTTTTCAGCTTGTAAGGTTTAAATATGCGGAGCTGACGGCGGGGAAAAAAGCAGAAGCCCGGAAGAAGAAAAAGCAGAGTTTCTTTTAAAGCTGTGAAGGTAAAAACTGTCTGCAGTGTCTCGAATGGGCGCTGTCTGTTTCTGTTTAACTTATTTGATGTCAAGAGGGACTTACACACGCTTTAATCCGCCTTTAACGCGTATAAACTGATGTAAAAACTGGATTTAGTTACTTTGTCATGTGTGAAAATACTTCAGAAGTTTCTTGCAAAACCTTTAAAAAACTCTACTTGTATGAGGCTTTTAACTTCCAGCTCGATGTAGCAATAAACTGGAAACTGAGTGAATAAGAATACAGCAGGAAACTATTACTACACATACAGGCTATTACTAAGATTAATGTCGTAAAATGATGCAGAAATTCATTCTCTTTTTCTGTTTGTTTGTTTGTTTGCTTTTTACCTAATCGTTGTTAGTTTAGGTTTCCTCTCTATTTTTAACCTGCAAACTTCTCACTAATCCAGCTGCAGAAAATCTTTAGAATTAAATAATAAAAATTACGAAGGCATTTGGTGTGTGTGTGTGTGTGTGTGTGTGTGTGTGTGTATTTTAATACAGTTTTAATTGATTTCTTTATTTTATTATATTAGTGTCATTGTTATTTTTTTTTTATTGAAGCTTTCATTATTAAAAATGTAAACATTTTTAAGTAAAGCATATGAAGTTGTGCGGTAAATGGGTAAATCTGACTACATTTTATTCATTCTAATTTTTAATTAACTCTAATTGTTTCATGAATTTCTTTTTCAAGGTTTTGTAAAACTTAAAATGAATTTAAAAATAATGTATATGCGTAACAGTAGTTTAAGCAAAAAGGTTTTAAATTTCTGGCTTTTATTTTATTGTTGGTGGAAGTAAAGCATATTTCCCTTTTAATAAGCAGAAGTTTAGATTAGCTTAATTTTTCCTGTTGCATTGTTTATTTTTTAAATGCGGCCTTTTATATCACGTTTGCATAATAACTTTGGATCATTTCTGCCTTGTGATGTTACACGTGAGGTCAAAGGTCACCGTTTACCTGCTGATCTGTCTTATCGCACACTTATAATGAGAGGTTTGTACTTTAAGTAAAGTTAAGTAAAGTTTTAGAAGATTTAACTTTATTACCTGTGTTACAGTGGCTATTACTTGTCCATGTCATAAGAGTGACTGACTCACAGGCCCCGTAAATGGCAAACACGTCCCAGCTCGTGAGTGATTCATGCAGCTTTTGGGTAAAGTTGTTCAGTCAGCGTGTGCTTAAACTCCCTCTGTAATGTTGTCAGTCTGTTTTAAGATGGCACGAGGTTTGTTTTGCAGGATGCAGGGTGTGTTTAAAGCATTTGGAAGTCAGATAAGCCTTCATTTGCGGACTTTCATTTTTTTAGAGCTGTGCACTTCTGTGACCAATAGGTGGCGTTAGATTCTGGACTGAAAGAGATGCTGATCCTGTTTGTGCTTTTATTCTACCATGTTTTCCTTTAACTAAAGTAATCTTAGAAGCAAGTATCACACTGCATGGCATTTATTTTGACTGTTATTTTAAAGCAATATTGAATATATAAGCAATACATACACACATTTTGTTTAAGAGGCCACCCAGGCATAAAAGTCATATTCACCTTCACACTGGCTTAAACAAAAGGTGTACAGTTGCATCACGTCAGTGTTGTCCTGGTTAAACATCCAAAGATAGTTTGACTTTAAAAGAGTTCACTTACTTTTTTTTGTTTATTTTATGGAACACGATGAATAACAGCATTGTTACTGATAATAATAATTAATCAATAATCAAGTAATAGTCAGGTGTAGCTTAGCTTCTATTAAAGAGCTCATTCTAATAAAAACAGGTGGTGAAATGATTGGGTAGAAACACCACTCTGAAAAAGTTTTCATAACAATGACGTGAACAAGTTTTTTAACAGCACAGATGATTGTTTTCTGTTTGTCTAGTAAAAGAGGAGCGAGGGAGGAAGAGGAGGATGGCCGTGGTGGAGCAGAGAGGAAGTGTCACCGTGGCGTCCGCTGTCACAGAGGAGGAAATTCCTCCAAAGGTGAGCCTGTTCGATGGCACGAGCAATAAGAGTTTAGTAGGACCTGCTTTTTGTGAAGAAGGGGGGAAATATTGTTGTGCAGATGATGGTAGGAGGCAGAAACATGGACGTGTATATATACATGCAGATAATGGCACATAATGCTGGATCTGAAAATTTTAGTAGATGCCTTTTAACAGAGGATTTCACTGAATTTAAATATAATCAAAAGGACAAACAGTGAGTGTAAAGGCTGTGTTGTGAGGTCTTGTTGGGAGAGCGATGGCAATTTGAAGTGGCGCTAACATATCACATCACTATCAAAAAAAGTGTTAGGGAGATGGATGTTTACAAGCCTTCTTCAGGTTCCCCCAAAGAGGCATTTTCAGACTCGTACTTGTACTAGCTGGGTCTTGTTGACCAATTTGTCCTTTTTGTATTGAGCTGAACTAAACAGCGAGTGAGTCAGGGCTTTTAAAAAGTACAGAAAATACGCTGCTGTTAACAGAAGGTCTGTGCTTGATTTAAAACCCATAACAAACAAGAGCTTTGTGCTGAAAATGAAAGGAAAGAAGTAGAAAATTATAAGTGTTTCATAATCATTGGAAAAAAGTGTTCAGTTTATCAACCAACCCATCAACTCATGTAAGCTGTAGCCATCCTGAATAACTGATTGTACTCGTCTTTAACAGGGCAGCTGTGGTTTAAAGACCACACCCCAATGCTGCTGGTTTCCAGTAGAGTAAACATCAGCTCATTTGTATAATCCACAAACAGCACTGTGGACGCTTTTCATTGGAACTAAAAAAAGTCCAGTGTACAAACTAGCACGTTCTACTTTAAAGCCCTCAATGAAAATACTGGAAAATCTTAAACGACCAGTAAAAGTTTCATGTGAAGGACAACAAACGACATGCCGTTGCTCCTGCCGCCGCTCAGCAGCAAAGCATCAGAGCGATGTGTAGATTTAAAACAGACCTGTGGTTAGTGCACTTGTTTTTACATGTAGTGCATGTGGCTGTGCAACCTGGCGGGCAGATTCTGTAATCTTATTAGCTGCTGCCATGACAACAAAGGCAAACTGGTGCGATGAACATTCACAGTGAGCAGATGAATCAGTGATTCGAAGACCGTTGTTGTGGTTAATATTAAGTGTGTGACAGCGGGAGGCAGGAGTGGTGCTCCTTGCATCTACATGTAGTTGCTTTTTGTAAACTGAAACGTGTCAGCTGCTGCTCGTGAATATCCAGCAGCTTGTTGTTTGGCTTTTTTGTTTTCACGACCGGCGACTGACTGAAATAAAACAATGGTTCTTTTTTTCATGCTTTCAGTGGTCACATGAGAAGGTTGACGCCACACACGTTACACTTTAATACGAGTAAACTTGTGAAACCTTTTCTTTACATTCCACTAAAAATGAACCTTTGCTAGACAGACCTCAGGGTTTATGCGTGTGTGGAGAAAATGTAGGCTGTAGAGCACAATTAAAAAATACAATTTTGCAAAGCGTCTGAATAAAAGCTTACATTACACATAAGTGTTCAAACATACGGTCTTACATTCTCTCCTGCATACACACAAACACAAGAATAATGGGAGAAAGCTTCATCTATAAAACTCTGTTCTCAGGGGGGCTGATGTGATGTTACCTCATTTGAGATGTTATGAGGGCCAAACACAAACGTTTCTTCTATTGCCACCGCCACAGCTCAATAAATGAAAAGAACACAGAAGTCCCAAAAATGGTGGATTCTCCATTTCACTCAAACCTGGAATACAAACTTGTTGGATGGTCTGTACCATACAACAATCCATGCATCACATAAATCCATTCTCCACAAAAAAACCACCATTAGCATGGTTGGGAGGTCCAGTTCAGTGACTAAGAGATGATGGATTACCACAGCTCTGTATCTGACTGCACTCCTAACTTTATGCCTTAGAGGTTTCCAAATGGATGATTTATAAAAACATGAGTCTTTGTGCAGTTATGATGGAGGGAACCATCCATACAGGCCAAAACAGCTTTTTATTTGCAAACATGTTTATTTTGGATATAAAGTTGGGGAGCACAGGGGAGCCAAGTGAACATTCTGTGCTTCAGTCCCAGTGGTTGTTGTGCTGGTTAATCATATTCATTCCACATTAAACTGTCTCTTTAATCTCTCATTTTTCTTTCCATGTATAAATTAGTTAGATTAATTTGATGACAACACTGTAAAATATATTAACTAGATTGATGGTTTGAGTTGTTGTCTAAAAACAACATAGAATCTGGTGGGTCACCAGTCATGGAAACTTTGATGGCTCAAGCCACCTGTGAAACCTCAGATTTGAAAATCTGCTGTTTGATTCAAATGTTATACACATAAATGGAGACCATTGGTAGCACCAGAGTTCTTCAGGAATAAACATTAAACATGGTGAAAAGAATAAATGAATCCATCCATCCATCCATCTTCACTTATCCAATTCAGTGTCATGTGTTAACTTTATTTACCAAACATTGGTAGAAACTACTACAGACTCCATTAGTAAAAGAAGGAAAGTATTGAAGAAAAAGTATGAACCACTGAACCCAGATCTCTTCACAGCTTAAATCACAAACAATAACAGCATGTCTGGCCTATAGTTAATAGATAGAGAGGATATCTATAGTGGACTGATAAGTGGAGAAACAATTTCTCCATAAACCTCTGTTATTGGACCTTTAATAACTCGCCACAGAAATCCGGACCCTTACAGTCACATATAAGCTCCTCTAACCTTTGGAAAAATCCAAGGTGGGCACTGAGAGGCACTGTGTGCCTCGCTGTCACTTCAATGTGGCACGAAACCTTTGAGCTAATTTCCTGCAGCACGGTGAGCCTTCC